GACGTCCTCCTCTGCGCCGTCGGGGTCACTGTGGTCATCCTCATATTCATCAGCCGAAGATTCACGCGACGAATTTTGCGGCGCTCCTACGCCAGTCGAGTTGTCATGCCACGTGTCATTGCTGTTCACCACGTGTCCAGCAAAGTGGGTGACCTCGGTTTTGTTGCCGACCAACGAAGTGTCGTTGTCAGAAGCGTCTCCGATGGCCACGTGAGGGTCCAGAAGCCCACCTCGCCCGCTTCGAGAGTCGGTCTCTCGAGAGCCGTCACTGACGCCGACGTCATCGCCAGGAAACAGGGCGTTCTCGTCCCCGCCATTGTAGATCTCTCCAGAGGTCACCTCGGGAGGCAGCAGAGACGGCGAAGCGGACTCCTCCTCTACGGACGACGGTGGCCTGCCAGTGTTGTCGGTCACGAACGTCGCCTCGGGGCTCAAGGGGACTTTGGAGCGCCATTGGAACACGGGTTTGCGCGTGGGCTTGGTGCACCGCCTAGGCCGGAAGGTCCGCGTTCGGTTCAGGCGCCGAGTCAGCAGTGAAGGCGTCTGCGATGCATTGTGTGGCTGGTGTCGTCTCAGGACCACGACAGGCGTTCGTAACCGGCGACGCCTGGATCGCTCCGTGAGAGACACCACTGCACAATAAGAGCAAGTGTGTGATCTGTAGTTTGGGTACCTGTTAAAGTTATAAATTTTGGCAATAAACACAACCACACAAGGCAGAAGTTCGGGGCAGGGCTGGACAGAGATACCCGAAAAAAGTATTCCGGAATATAGATATCGAAATACACGATTTGGAAGCCGAAAATACAGATACTGAGATACATTTGTAATTGACGTAACAGGATATTTCAAACATACTTTTGCAAAAAGACGAAAAAAGTATTCCGTAATACAGATACTGAAATACTTTTCTCTATTTCGGGGATAGTCATACTCCGTACAGACATTTGTTACGTGCAGCATAATATTTAAAATTCGCAGGGCATTGAAACTTGCAAATAAATTTATTCATTATTTTATCACCGTACTCTTAGAGCCACTAAGGCATTAAAATGGAGGCTTACACTGCACATAATTTTTAATGACAACGTATTTACAGATATGAGTTACAATAAAAACTATGCTGTATGAGAGCAACAGTCAAACGCACTGCACACCAAAATCGAGATACATGGCGGCAACAGTATTAGCTATGCTAGAAGTAGCTAAGTTCAAGCGAAGCGCTAGAACTTTAAATAGACGAGTTAAGAAAGGGTATGCTTCTATTCAGAGCGGTCAACGTGTGCCTATGACTAAAAAAAAGAAAATAAGACTCCTGAATTCCTTTCTGCTGCTGTAATGGTGGCGCTCACTTCAATGAACTTCTATGTATGCTTAGTATACTCGGTCCAGGCTAGTTGGTTTCCAGTTTCGCTAAAGTGGTCAAGCATGAAGCAGGAGGGGAACAAATAAACAATGATGACTAGCGCTTACTTCCAATTTAAGTTTTAGTGTTTCGTAGAAATATAGAAAAATCAGAAAGAGGAAGGAACAAAACAAGCATTGTGACAGGAAACGCAAAAAGACCTTCCAATCACCTTGTGGCCACACCGGCGTCTTCCATAAATACTTTAGAAAAAGAAGTATCGCTGTTGGCACACGGTACCACACACCAAATTCTTTGGATGGTTTGTGTCTTCCGCGATGAGCTCCGGTTTTTTAAATGAGCGCTGCAAAAAAAAAACTGAAAAAATAGAACAAAAGCACTGCTTGTTCAATTGGCTTGAGGGAACACATTTTAGAAACAACGCTGTTGGTTGGCGCCCATCGTGCCGAATACAATGCTCCTCACTATGAAAATATCGCTGCTGCAGGAATTCAAAATGGCTGAATAACACTGTTGGCAAGCTCAAACAGGCGATCATTGAAACAAATTCCACTTCTGCCTGAAGGTGCACAATGGGATGCGGGTAGCAAAGCCAGTTTCGCCCTCAGCAGAAATGTGGAAACAATGGTTGCATATCTCGCCGCGGACTGCCGACCGTCAAAGCAGAATGTTTTTTTTTTCATTGTAAACACGTCTCAGCTCATTTTCAAAAAAAAAAAGTAACGAGATAGCCATCCCCTGGATAGTATCGCGATACGGGCAATACATCGTCTAAGTATTTCACTACTGAGATACAAATATATTTCTGGATACGATACAGATACTCGAAGATATCTCTGAAATATTATCGCGATACTCTTGTATCACGATACTACCTAGCCCTGGTTCGGCGTAAGAAGAAGGCCTCAAGTGATGCGAAGCGTTTGAACAAGAATTTTCGCTAATAATTAATGTTTCCACAAAAGGGCTCGTCTACATCAAGGCGCTCACAAAGGCCGGTCCCATCGGCAAGACATTTATTGCACCGACGCTCTTATTTGGCGATTTATCACAGCAAAAATGTTAGTCAAGTGCAATCAAGTCCCCTCTTAAAAGCATATGATTCTTACATAAATATGGTCTCAGCTGTCGGGACAGAATACTCAAGCACGGCAAGACTATTGTCCAATCATACCATGAATGCTCATCGATTGCCATTTGGAACACTCTACCTCACGCCAAGCCAAGCCTCAGCCAAGCTTGGTTAACCTCCCTGCCTTTCCTCTCTATTTCTCTCTCTCTCTCTCTATCTCACGCAAAGCTCGGAAAGCTCTGCACTTTCTACGCTTTAGAAAATGTTGGCCGCAAGAGTTTGTGCATATATACTACAGACGAACAGGTATCCGTGTTTGCTTACAGTTGGGGACAGCGTAGTCCGAGTCGTCGAGGTCCCTCAGGACTTCTTCCTGAGCACTAGCTGAAGGGGAGGAGAAACCATAAACAATTTATTCTGTCTTGTGGCCAAGAAAAAATGAAATTCATCCGCTTAGTGTGCATCAAAAATCAGACCCACCGTTACCTTTCAAGTACTCTGTGTTTCGGTTAGTCGGCGCAGCCGTCACTACTGTCCTGAAAATCAGGCAAGCCCTTTAGGACCATGAAAGGTAAACACAATATCCCGTACAAAACATCTTTCTCCAAACGTTTGCTACCATAATCAATCACACACAAGAAATCTTTCTTCCAGCTAAGCGAGACGTATGCACTTCAAGCATTTGATGGAAGTTCTCAAAGCTTTAAGCTAATATCGGTATATGCATAGGCTCTCACTTGATCGATTGCACTGATGGGGAGCAGGTTTCATGTGCATAATGACATGCAGTGATGTCCCCATGGCGGTGATGTTTTTTTCGCTTGCATGGTGCTCATGAAGCCAGGAAAGACACTATGAAAAACCGTGCCGTTGCAATCTTGAAGCCCTGTCATGAAAACTGAAGGAAGGAATGTCCCTACACAGGCACGTGACAGGCAGATGCCACTGCTCGTCGGCTGGCTTTAGTTGCATCTGTTGCGGGCACTGCGCTGATTAAATTCGGCCCGAAAGACTACGCGCACTAACCTCACATGAGGGATGGTGTCAGAGCAGGTTGACTTGCCGAAGCTAGCGTAGCCATGGGACTTTCCTTTCTAGTTACTTTCCTTCCTCCATGATGGCGCTTCCCACACCTCACGTGACATCTACGCGAACGTGACGTGAAACGTCGCTTCCGTGCCTTAAAACTAAGAAAATTGGCTTGCATGCCCATAAACAGTCACCTCGAAAGCCTATATGAACTACCACCTATCTACTTCATAAAGATTGTGTTGCAGCGAAACTGCATATGCGCGATGAATTACTCTTGCGGCATCTCTTCCTCAGTGGCGGCGGTAACCATTACTTGCCGTATTGCCTCGGCTTCGCGAGCTCACAATCGGAGTAGTTGGCTCTCCGCTGCCGCTTGGCCTCTGCATCGCGAGCTTGCAACGCAGCGTCTACGACGCAAAAACTTCCACGCGCGTGAGTATACTCGATTTGCTAGCGAGATCACATGCGGTGAGCAAAGCACGTGATTGGCTAACGAGATCACGAGATGTCGTGAATTCGCCTCTAGATTTGAAATTCGCGCGCTTACACCCGATGGGTCCAAAGAAGATCACATGAGTTGTCGACTCGATCATTGGCGTGTACCCGCTACTTGTTTTCTGCGGGCTTTCACTACTGCTGCTACACAGACTTGGCCTAGACAGCTTCGATCGTAAACCTATTTTTGATAAAGCGCAGCAACATGATTCAGCATAGCGTTCACAGCACCTTCTGTGTGGACGACGCCGTAAATGATGTGGCCCCAGAAGATGCCCACCAGAGTGACCATGGCGAAGGAGCAAAATGCGATGATCGAAACGCTCCTGTTCACAAAGCAAGCGTCGAGACAGCGTTATTAACAAAGTGAAAATCAAATTCGCAAACATCATTCATGAGATTGCTGTTGCGTTCACGGTATGACGTATTTATGGTCTCAAAAATGCTGTAGTGCGCGAAGCTCTGAAAAAAAGAAAAAAAAGATGCCACGTCATTTATCTCCCAGTTGTTTGTCATGGACACCGCCGGCTACCGAGTCCACAGCCAGGGAAGAAGAAATTCGTCCAAACACTTCAGGATTGACTTGCCTAACCGCAACCTCAGTTTTGGACCTTTCGCGTTGTGTTCAAGTCTGCCATACTGTCAGTCGGCATTGCAACCACTCCGTTTTCGAATCCACAAAGCACTACAGAGTGTTATGAAGTGCAGGGCACGTGGTTGGGTTCTGCATTCCTAGCAGCCGATGCACTAGAACAGCCTCCAGTTCGCCGTGCTTGCTCCGAAGCTGCTCGCCGTCTTTCGCACTGTCGTTGGGTGCAACGCGCTTGAGGTAACCACACTCATCGACAACTGACGCTCTCGTATTCGCACATCATGAAAAATGAAGCGGATAACATACAACCACTCGTTTGTAGCGCGAAGGAAGTCAACAACGACTTTACCAGAGTGACTATCCCAATAGGGTATTGGTCTTGGGGTTGATTCCCGGACCAGGACGAACTTTTTTTGAACTATAAGCTTTTTGTTTCTGAGCAATCCGTGGGGACTTCCTTGTGGCTTTGGGCCACATAGAAGTGGTTGTCGATTGTCCCTTTAACAACTTAACTCCTCCACCATCTTGCGGGATTCCTCAAGGCTCGAGAACATCGCGAGAATTGCTTAGGTGGCCAGATAGTTTTTTTTTATACGACAGCGCGATACCTTAAGGAAGACAAAAAGAAAGATTAAATGGGAAATGTTGCGACTTTCTTTTCTTACACTTCATTTCACTAATAGCACCGATACATTCCACATGAAGGCTGACCTTTTTATCTGGATTCCGTGTTGCATTGGGTCTCGTAAAATTTTCACTGCATTTTGCCACCGTATAATCGAACCGGCTGTGCTTACTGTTTCTTTCTGAGCGTTCTTCCAGGCTGAGGGACGTTGAAGGGCAATCGACGACCGAATGATTCCGACGACCTGAAAGTGGGCCGGCGAACTTCAGTTTCATAGCTTTCTTGAGGCGCGCCAACGCATCGCACATTCTAACGAGCTCAATATAAATAACTGGCGTCCGCATGCACAGTTAGTATGAAAAGCGGAAATTCGGTGATTGTTGGTGACAGGGGCATTCCCTTGTTCTTACCCTTTTGAGACGTCCTTTGAGAAGGACTCTTTTCGTGAGATTTCCCGTCTATAAAAGTAACATATAAAGGTTAAGACAATCCACGTACATGTCTCCGTCAAAAGGGCGTACAAACACCTGGCCCCGTAACAAGAAAAATATAAGAAATTCAACAGATAATTTAGGCAATCACTCGTTGAATACAAGAACATCGAAAATCTCATACCATTTTGATCGCGCTCCTGGTTTTGTCAAGATTGAAGGCCCCGGGGGACCACTGCATTGTAGCGATGGAAAAGAAACGAATTGGAGAGTTTCTGGAATGCTTTAAAAGTGTGAATTGCTGGGCAAGTTGGTGTGACGTTTCAAGGAAAACGAGCAATAACTTGGCACGCAAAGCAGGGAAAACGTGGACTTGAAAGCGACTTTTGCGTTACTACGTACGTTATTTTATTTGTCGTTCTTTGATGAATAATCATTCATATGGTGAACCACTACCTTTACACAATGGTGAGTACGTGCTTGTCATTGAAAATTTCACTTACATTCGGTAAAACTTCATCGTCTCGTCATCTGGTATTACCTCCTGGTCTTCGTCCCTGATAAGAAAAATATTGTATCAGAAAACATGACATTGCATGCTGTATTCAGCGCACGCTCACACAAAACGTACTGAAACGGGAAGGCATGACTGTCAATGTCAAAGTACATAGTCTTTTACGTATACTTCGGCATTACTCTGGCGCACATTGCACGATGGATTGCCGCTTCTCGCTCCAAAAAGCTTGGCTAGGATAAGATATAGAATCGTTAGATCCACCGCTGAGACCACTGGCGAAGTAGAGAGATGGAGTGTTTAACCCCTCTTCCAAATATTCTTCAGTTCTGCTTGTGTATTGTACAACCATGCAAACTCAAGAACGTACGCAAAACAAAGCTAAACGTCCACCACCCACCCCATTGTAAAATATTTTTCGCTACGCTACTGGCCGAGACAGAACGTCATAATATGATTAAAGCCGTATCTCTCACAGCTGTCACGTTTGTACGTGCCTTACGCAATCGCCAGGTGGGCCCACGAATGTGGTCAAGTGCCACCACATTCATGCAGCGATAGTGTAGGAATGTGATCGCACGTGATAAACAACGATATAAACAGCGTGATCAAGTCCGACAGCATGTAATGGTGCAGCGGTGCCACCACATTTGGCAATGTCACTGAAGAAAACATTATATACAAGTTATGGGGCGAGTGTGTACAGTGTCAATTTTTATGAAAGGGAACACGGGAGCGCGTGACCTGCGCGCTTCGGCGGCTGCTGGCAGCACGTTCAAGTGGGAGCCAGAGCAACCACCGTCTCTTTTCGCGTCATCTCGCGGCGAGCAAAACAACCACTCGTTGCTGATATAGAACCAGCGGCAAGATTGCGACCCCCTCCTCCTTCAAGGCGATTACGTGAGAGCTGGTAACAGCCTATAATATACTGGTGAACAAGAATAAGGAAGAAGAGGAATAATTGTTGCCGCCGGTGTCGTGAGGGCCTCGGCTGTAGCCCATGTTCGCGAGTATCTCCGCTTCGGGAACAGTCACCGAGGCCAGCCGGCCAGGCAGCATCATGTCGCCGCGACATGAGGCACGCTTGCCACGATATCACTGTAAACGTGGTTTTTTTTATTTAAGTATACTGCAGACCTTCTCGGTCCAAGCAGGAGTGGTACATAGGATACACAAACAATGATGTCACGTACAGAAAGGCACCGACACAATCCAAGAAAAGAATAAAAAACTATTGAAAAAACTATTGAGTAGGACTTGTTGTTGGGAGAGTTGGTTAACATCGAATGGGTACGTGATAGCGCAAACTTGGAAAAGAAGGGCTCGAGGAAAGAAGTACGAGGTCGCAGAAAGGCCAGTAGGGCGCCTAACTTCGACTGTTAATTTGAAATAACAGGCCCCCCGATTATAACTATATATGCGCACGCCTCCATCAATATCGGCAAACAGTGGTCGCACTCGCATATCGCATGCGCAGATAGTGGGGGCCTGTTCTTTCAGATTAACTTTAGCGTCTGACATTTCTGCTCCCTCCTATACTGATTCTATCGAGTCTTCCTTTCTCAAGTTTGCACTATCATGTACCCCTTTGATCATTGTAAGCGCCACGTATAAATGCCGCCTATGTAAATACCGGGAGCTGGGAGGCGCCATCATAAAGTTGAGTTTACCTTTCCAATAAGAGCACACCTGAGCGTAAACATAGTGACCTTTGATCTGCTGCGAGCAGCGCGCGAGCTTATTGCAATGTTTTGATTACAGGTGCAAACTGCCCTTATACTAATATTGACCTAGACGTTCTTGTGTGGTACAAATGAAGATGTCTAGCAGCAGCAGTTTACTACAACCTCCACCGCCACCACAACTTGCATATATTGTGCTATCTCTGTTTAACCCACAAGTAAACGGTTTTTGTTTAAACATTGCGTGGCAGAGGTGTAACCAGAACTTCATTTTATTGGAAGGTGATGACAGGACGTTCTGCGATCCCCTCATTTGCGTTCGTTTAAGAATGTGTAAAAAATATAGGGTAGCGGGTTACCAAACTCCCAACGCCCAAATAAACTAGCCCTATATAGTGGCAGTGGTTAAATCAACAGAATGACCTAACTATATCCACATAATTTACATGTAAGGTATAACGTAGCCGCAAAAAACACAAGACCGGTTTGATTGGCGGATCATGGGAGAGGTCTTTGCACTGCAGTGGGCGTAGTCAATGTATACATCTATCGCAACCGTGCATTTGGAACCAGCGCGCAGGCCACGCGTCGCCGTGTTGCCTTTCATAAAAAATTGACACAGTACATAATATACACAGTGCCTCCACGATAGAGGATAGCGAAGAATGTGTGAATATCGGTGTCCACGTGCACCGCCACACATGTAACGTTTGCAGGCTCGCACTTTTTGTGGCTTCTTATTTCTTTTTTTTATTTTGCTGTAAGTGCTAACACAGCGTGGAATCCCCAATGACCTCGAAGTGCTTGACTATTGGCATATCTTCCACCCGTACACGAAAGCATTATGGTTTGCTTGAAACTGACATAAGTAATTCCGATGGCATGGTGGCCTTGAATGTATTATTGTCGACGGCAATTCCTCCGCGGTGATTGATTGCGCGTTCCCCAAAGGCGACCGATTCTTAGCCCATTACTGCAAACGTGTATATGCACCAACGCGACGGAGACATATATCCATGGCGTACGGAAGTCGAGATCGAGACATGCGGCAGCCTTACGACGTCAGTTGGCATTCACCGTTATTACATCGTACATATTTTTGTGTTTTTTAGGGGGGGTCTTTTTTTTAATCCTGTACCGCCGACTGTGTTTCGTTGATGATGATGATATGTGGGGTTTAACGTCCCAAAACCACTATATGATTATGAGAGACGCCGTAGTGGAGGGCTCCGGAAATTTCGACCACCTGGGGTTCTTTAACGTGCACCCAAATCTGAGCACACAGGCCTACAACATACTGTGTTTCGTTGAATACGTCTACTAATTGTTGCTTAGTCCATTCATTAAGGAGCCCGCTGGACACCCGCTGGACAGAACACAACACCCGCTGGACAGAACACAATCGTTTCTGCAGGTGTAAACTCCCAAGCCTGGCAATCTATATCCCGTTTCCAAACAATGTGTTACTTTCGTTTGTTATTCCCAGAAGAAAAAATAACCTCTTGCCCCCCCCCCCCCCCCCCCCGTTCTCGGTGGTCATCTGCATGCGAGGCGAGTGATGAGAAGTTACCTCGGCAGACTTGCATGAGACGAGCGTTCTCATTGTTTCATTATGCAGCGCCATAAAATTGCCGGCAGTCGCACAAGCTTCCCGCCGGCTTTCATATAGAGACGCTACTACGCCAGTTCCCGGAAAGCAATAGTTAACTATACAATTATCCTGCTCTGTGGAAGTTTCCGTGGCTGTATCTTGAAAGGAAAACAAGACCTTCTGACGCCTCAGTTCGTTGTTCAACTCGTAAATACACGTGTATTCGTACTACCAGAAGTGGACGTATATACCTATCTGAAATCATATTATATAGGCATGACTGTTTTCACTACTCTTTACTAATGTACACGCAAGTGTTACATGCATTAAAATTTCAGACGGCAGTGACATTTTCTCCAATCCCTAAATCTTGTGGTGCGAATGTGTTTTTCTAGTCGGGCAATAGCCGCGTTGCCGGTCGCGCACTGAACGCAAAGTAGGGTGGAAGACGTTCGTAAAAAAAAGTAACCATAGCCACGTGCACCCACAGAACTCAATTTTTTTTTATTTCTCTTTGAGGAATTTTAGAATCATTGTTTTACAGTTTACATTTTTGAAAATTACTTTAAACACAAATGTTGTTATGGATAAGAGTAGTTACAAATAAACTTGTGCATTCACATTTCTTGATCTTCATGATGAATACCTTTATTAGCGCTATTCTTTAGTATATTCGCGATATCAATTCATTTTGCATAATAGCAGTCTTTTGAGAGTGATGGAGGAGGAAAGATACATCTATTCAGTAAAATTGAGGGGGTTGTCTTCGCCGGAAAGAATGAAAGAAACGCCGTACTAACCAGAAAAGCTCTCTGAAGTTAGAGCTGTACAACTAAAAGAATTGTGTTGTAAACAAACATTTCTTTTTTACCACTCGCGGAATCACTACGAATGTACACCATGGATCAGGGCGCCATGGGACGTGTTGTCTGTCGTTGCTGTCCTACACGAGCCATTTTAAGTGCGTGTGTTCCGTCAACATTTTTTTCTAGATTTCTTGAAATGTTTTCGCAGGCTTACGGAGACACAGAAGCGAACATAAACGGGTGCAACTTCTGTGTATCCGTAAACCTGTGCAAACATTTCAAGAAGGGTATGTTCCAACTAGGCGGAATCGTAGTTTTGCTTCACTTTTTTTCTCTAGCACCCGAAGCTTATTCGAGACTGAAGTGTTTCTTCCTCTTTCAAAAATAGCGTCTGCTCCGTTGAAAAATCGGAGTATAGAGAATTCGCCATCGAAATCAGAATCCTCGCGGTAACAAAACGTAATGCCCCCCCCCCCCCCTCCTTTTTTTTCCAGCTTTAAACTCGTACGACTGTGTGTTCCCGCGTGGAAAAAAATCCCCTACAAAAGTGATAGAGGGACAGGTTAGCTTTCTGAATGACAATGTTTCATCTCTAATGCAGCCACCAACAAATTTCAACCATGAGAAGGGAGGATGTAGTCACTATTGTCATTTTGTGTCCCAAACGACGTTATGGTTACGAGAGACACCGAAATTCACGGCTTCCAAATTTTCGACCGCCTGGATCAGCAGTCGAGCGCCATGACCGCTCGATTATGGTGTATCAAGAGCAAGAAGAAAAAAAATGGCTTGGGTATCTATATTTCTGTCTCACGGTAGAAGGAAGATATCCAGCATTAAAAAAGTACCAATCCCTTGAACAGTAATGCATATGTACGCTAACGTGTTTTCATGTCTAAAATGAGACCACCCGTGGTTCGCATTGTATGTGTGCACCGTGATGAAGCTCCGACAACTGTCACCTGA